AATCATACTAGGAAACAACCAATATAAATTGTAAGGATACAAGCAACAAAGTTACAGTCACAAGTGGGAGGAGATGGGTGAAAGGATGGGAGGATTAATAATAATAGTACAGACTTTGTAAATAGTTGGACAGTGTTGAGGTAATTATTTCTTTAGGAGAGTGATGGCGTTTTGGGGGAAAAACTCCCCTTGTGTCTAGTTGTTCTGGTGTGCAGGGCTCTATAGCGTCGTTTTGAGGGAAGGAGTTGAAACAGTTTATGTCCAGGATGTGAGGGGTCTGTAAATATTTTCACAGCCCTCTTTTTGACTCCTGCAGTATACAGGTCCTCCATGGAAGGCAGGTTGGTAGTAATTATTTTTTCTGCAGTCCTGATTACTCTCTGAAGTCTGTTGTCTGTCCTGTTGGGTTGCAGAGCCAAATCAGACAGTGATAGAGGTGCCGATGACAGACTCCATCCTTCCTCTGTAGAACTGTACCATTGAATGCAACGGGACTTCAGTTTGAAGGAATGGTTACCCTCGTGTCGGTGTGACCAATCCCACCTGGTTGTGCAAATTTACGCAGGGCGATCTGTCAGCTTTTGTTCTGCTGCTTGGCAGGGACCTTAAGTGTTCCCACCGAGCAGGTTCATAACAACTTGCCTGATCCAAGAACAGCATGAATTATAACATTTTAAGGCTGATCTCTTGGAGGATGGCATTCGGCTTTGTTCGGGTATTCTCCCACGTCATTGTAGTTGTGCTTTTAAAGTTGTAGCAACGTTTCGGCAGAATCTCATCTGCCCTCATCAGGCTTCTGTATTGTGTCCGTCTGTCCGTTGGAAGGGACCTTATAGGTCATCTAGTCCAACCTCCCCCCCAAGCAGGAGACCCTACACCATTTCTGACAAGTCTCTTCTTGAAAACCTCCAGGGATGAAGCTCCCACAACTTCCGAGGGCAACTTTTGTTCCATTGGTTGATTGTTCTCACTGTCAGAAAATTCCTCTTTATTTCTAGGTTGAATCTCTCCTTGATCAGTTTCCATCCATTCTTCCTTGTCTGGCCTTCAAATGTGCTTTGGAGAATAGCTTGACCCCCTTCCTTCTCTCTGTGGCAGCCCCTCCCTCAAATTTTGGAAGATGTTCTCCTGTCTCCCCTGGTCCTTCTCTTCCCTAGACTAGCCAGGCCCAGTTCCTGCAACCGTCCATTGTATGTTTGAGCCTCATCATCCTGGTTGCTCTTCTCTGCACTTTTTCTAGAGTCTCAACATCTTTTTTATAATGTGGTGACCAAAACCGGATGCAGTACTCCAGGTGTGGTCTTACTAAGGCTTTATAGGGTGGTATTAGTACCTCACTTGATCTCGATTGTATCCCTCTATTAATGCAACTTAGGATTGCATTGGCTTTTTTGGCTGCTGCTGCTGCACACGGCTGGCTCCTATTTAGCTGGTTGTCCACTAAGACTCCAAGATCTCTCTCCCAGTTACTGCTATTGAGCCTGGTTTCACCCAGTCTATGTGTGTGCTGTTGGTGTTTTTTGCTTAAATGTTGGACTTTATTTTTCTTTACGTCGAATTTCATTTTGTTAGATAGGTCCCAGTGTTCGAGTCTGTCAAGATCCATCTGGACCTTGAGCCGATCTTCTTGGGTGTTGGCTATGTTCTCATTGTCAGAAAGTTTCTCCTTATTTCCAGGTTGAATCTCTCTCCTTGTTCAGTTTCCATCCATTGTTCCTTGTCTGGCCTTCAGGGGCTTTGGAAAATAGCTTGACCCCCTCTTCCTCACTGGGGCAGCTCCTCAACTATTGGAAGGCTGCTCTCCTGTCTCCCCTGGTCCTTCTCTTCCCTAGACTAGCCAGGCCCAGTTCCTGCAACCGTTCTTCATATCTTTTAGTCTCCAGTCCCCTCATCATCCTGGTTGCTCTTCTCTGCACTCTTTCTAGAGTCTCAACCTCTTTTTTTAATAATGTGGTGACCAAAACTGGATGCAGTATTTCAGATGTGGCCTTACTAAGGCTTTCTAAAGCAGTATCAGAACTTCATATTATCCTGATTCTGTCCCTCTCATAATGCAGCCTAGGATTACATTGGCTTTTTTGGTGGCTGCAGCACATGGCTGGTTCATGCTCAAGTGATTGCCTCCTTCTCACATCGAGGCAGGTCAAGAAAAATTGTTTTGGATCTCAAAAGAAGCAGAGAGATACAGATAGTCCTTGATATATGATGGTCATGGTGCCTGCCCATTATAGTCATAAAAACGGGTTAGTCACGTGATCTACCCGATTTTTACATCTTCTTTTTAAAACCACGGCCGTTAAGTGAATGTGCGCAGTTGTTAAATGAAGCCCATGGTTGAACCAGCATGGCTGAGGAATTCTGGCAGTTGAAGTCCGCGCGTTTTAAATTTGAGAAACAGACACTAAGAGGAAAAAAAACCTGCACCCTTAAAAAAAAACCTCTAATGCCCTGCAGGGATGGGCCAGGTTCTCCAAACACACACCTGGAGGCCAGGTATGGCTGTTATCGCCTCTCAGGTTACTAAGATGACTGGGAAAGAGAGCACTGAGATCAACAGGAACCGGATCTGCGGGAAGGGGGAAAAAAAATAAAAGACTTTGATAGACGATCTTGAGATTAGGGAAAAAAAGGAAAAAGGAGTGGACATTGCAGAGGGCAGGAACAAGAAAGGATCGAATATAATATAGCTTTTGAGTGCTTGGTAAATTGAGAATTACCGGGAACAGGGGTGGAGTGGGTGACTGTACCATACGCTTAAGCCCACACCTAGAGTACAGCATCCAATTTTGGTCACTACAATGTAAAAAAGACGTTGAGACTGTGGAAAGAGTGCAGAGAAGAGCGAGAAAAAGGATTAGGGGACTGGAGGGTAAAACTTACAAAAGAATAGTTGCAGAAACTGGGGACGACATGATAGCAGCCTTCCAATATTTGAGGGGCTGCCCCAAAGAAGAGAAGGAGTCAAGCTATTCTCCAAAACACCTGAAGGCCAGACAAGAAATATTGGATGGAAACTAACCAAGGAGAGAAACAACCTGGAACTAAGGAGAAACTTCTTGACAGGGAAGACAATTAACCAGTTGCCACGGTTGGAGACCCCTGCCCTAGAGGAGACCTAGGGTCTCATCCGTTATTATTACCTTTATTGTCAGAGTACAACATGTGTACAGTGAGGTTGGCTGAGCCTCCCTTCGTGCACAACCCCCCCCCCCCCACAACACAACTCACAGTGAGAACAGAAGTCCCTAATACAGTGCCAATCTTATTACCCATTGCACAACACACCGGTCGCACAATCTGTCATACTATGCTGACATGAAGTTATTTTCCATTCGGGAGTCTGATAGCCCATGGGTGGAAACTGTTCTTCAGCCTGTGTTCTGACCCAAACCTTGTCCCAAGTAAACCAAACACCAAACAGAGATAAAAGCAAAACCTTTTCATGCCTCTCTGTGAGTTCCGTTCCTTCACGGTTAAAAGGCTCTTTCAAACTCATTGTCCCAGATAAGAACGAGCCTCGCCAAGGCGGTGCAACGCTGCCAAGAACGGTAGATTAAATGGCAAGGAAATAATCAAACCAAAAGTCTCCAAATACAAGCCAGGATAGTCTGAACGTCCACAAGGCTTGAAGTGCTAAAACGTCTTTGCTTCCTGCAAAGAATCCCGGTCTCTCAGGCTGGCTTTTATCCCTTAAGGGAGGGGCCATTACCTTGCAGCCTTACTCCTGAGTTTTACCTGTGCTGCTGCCGCTGCTTTTTCCTTCGAGCAATTTCCTGCGTGCATGCGCACTGGGCACAGGCTCCTCGGGGGCCTCTTCCTCATTGCTGCCAGCCCCCACAAGCTCCAAAGGCCACACTCCACTCCCTGATGGTCCTGGCCCCATCCCTGCATCACACGCAGGCCCCTCACCTGAGTCCTCGCTCTCCGAGGCCTCAGCTGTCTGCACCTGCTGCTGGCGAACCACAACAGCCTGTTGGCGCGGCTGGCTCTGCTTCTCTATCTCCTTCCCGATGGTAGGAGAGTGAAGAAGGGCTGACCGGGGTGTGAGTCATCCCTGAGGATTTTCCTCACTCTTTTAAGGCAGCGAGCCCCGGCGAGGTCATCTGGTGGTATCAGGGAACAGCCCACGATGTTTTGTGCTGTGCTCACCATCCTCTGTAATGTCTATCCACGGCTGTCAAGCCAGCCATGCAATGTGAGAGGACGCTTTCTATTGTGGACCGGTAAAAGGAGGCCCACTTTATTCTTTCGCAAGACCCTAAGAAAATGGAGTCTCTTTGGGGCCTTTCTGGACACCTGGGTTGTATTGATTTTCCAGGTGAGATCTTCACTGAGGTAGATTCCCAGGAATTTAAAGGAGGAAACTCCCCACACAGCCCCCCCTCCTCTCTCTTCTTCTGGAAGTCTGACACAATCACCTTTGTCTTACTGATGTTCAGGTGCAGGTTGTTTTCTGGGCACCATATCTAGGTCGCTGCGTGTCATGACCCTGTCGGAATCTGATTCTGAGGGGGAGTCGAACAGCTGACAGAGAGTGGGAGTGTGGCTCTGTCTGGTGGCTGGGGAGGAAACTGGGGAAGGGCACAGTCTGGCTGGGCATTCAGAGGAAGACCCAGGCCTACCCCCTCTACATCCTAGGCCATGCAGGGAGGAACGGAGAAGGGAGCAATGTGGGTTTCCGGGGGAGAAAAGGGCCCTGATTCCCTTCATTAGCTGCAGCTGGGAAAACAGGATTTTAAAAGGGTGTCTGCGCACAGAACCTTGCTGGAAGCAAAGCGTGCATTATCTTTGTTTGTCAAGTCCTGTCTTAGTTCTGGGCAACCTCCCAACGGCGTGCGTTTTGTTATCTTTTGAAGTCTGCAATTCCTTATCCTGCCCTGTCTTGTTAATTGCTGCAGCTGTGGTTTGTGTTGGTTTTTATTTATAATTTAGATCTACTTTGGGTTCGGATTGAATTTCTTCCCTTTAAAAACTATTCTTGGGAGAGTTTTTTTTCTTTTCTCCAGCCGATGATAACTGGATTTTGGGGGCCAAGTTGGAGGAATTAAAGGGACTTTACCTATTTTTGTGACTTGGTTGCTTTTGTGCCACGCCCCTTTGGGTCATCACACGGAGTCTCTTTTGGGCCTTTCTGCCCACCTTGATTTTCCAGGTGAGATCTTCACCGAGGTAGATTCCCAGGAATTTAAAGGAGGAAAACTCCACACAGCCCCCCTCGGTGTCAAGTGGAGCGGGTTCCTCTCTCTTCTTCCGGAAGTCTAACACCAACCATCTCCTTTGTCTTGCTGATGTTCAGGTACAGGTTGTTTTTCTAGGCACCGTATCCAGGTCGTTGCAGATGGAGGTGTGGGGGTGTCCTTCCTCTCCAAGTTCTCACCAGGGAATCGGGTTCTGTTCTCTGGGGAGGATGGGTGATCATTCCGAAATGTCCTTCTGTTTTGCTCCACCAGCATTGGGCCCAAGACCAGGATGGCCTCTAACCACACCGAGACCTGGTTCCAGAAGCTGGACGTGATGTTGAAGCTCTTCAACGGTACCATCTCCCGTGTGGAGCCCTGTTCCCGGCTGGGCAAGGCCGACCAGGAGGGAAAAGACACTTATGCTTACATGTACATCGTTTTCATGATGCTCCTCTTTGCTCTGACGGTTGGCAGCCTGATCCTAAGCTACACCCGATCCCGAGAGGCGGTGGACAAGCCCAGCGACCCCTACCACATATACATCAAGAACCGGGCGAACATGATTTGAAGGGAGGAGGCAACGAGAAGGAGCCACGGGAGTCCTCGCGGGCCTTTCAGTCAGCCATGAAAATGGCGTCGAGTCTCGAACTCAGGACCGGAGGAACGTCTACGTTCCAAGGAGCGTGGAGAGAGAGAGAAAAAAGTTAAAAATCTAAGGGATTTTAAAAGCAGGCTCTTTAAAGAAGCCAGAGGGGACTGACGTCACCTGCCTTAAATGACCCATTTATAAAGTTTTGTAAAGTAATTTTTAAAAAGCTTTCCTAATCTACTTCTTCCTATCAATAAACAAATTGGAAGGTGGGAAGGGTTCAAGGTATTTATTTATTTAT